TTAGTCATTCTAACAGGTGTAAGATTGAATCTCAGAGTCATTTAGCTTTGCATTTCCCTGATGGCTAAGAATGTTGAACATTTCTTTAAGTGCTTCTCAACCATTTGAGATTCCTCTGCTGAGAATTCTCTGTTTAGATCTGTAACCCCATTTTTTAACTTAATTATTTGAATTGTTGATATTCAGTTTTTTTGTGTTTTTTTATATTATATATTAGCCCTTCACTGGATGTAGAATTGGTGAAAATCTTTTCCCAGTCTGTAGGTGACTTTTTGTCCTATTGACGATATCCTTTGCCTTACAGAAGCTTTTCAGTTTCATGGGGTCCCATTTATTGATGTTCTTAGTGCCTGTGCTATTGGTGTTCTGTGCAGGAAGTTGTCTCCAGTGCCAATGCATTCAAGGCTGTTAGTGTGTCTAGTTTTATGTCTTTGATCCGTTTGGACTTGAGTTTTGTGCAGGGTGGTAGATATGGATCTATTTGCATTCTTCTACATGCTGGCATCCAGTTAAATCAGCACCATTTGTTGAAGATGCTTTCTTTTTTCCAATTGTGTATTTCTGGCTTCTTTATCAAAAAAATCAGGTACCCATAGCTGTGTGGATTTATTTCTGGGTCTTCAATTCCATTTCATTAATCAACCTGTCCTTTTTTTGCCAAAACCATGTGATTTTTATTACTATAGCTCTGTAGTAAAGTTTGAAATCAGGGATGATGATGCCTCTGGATGTTCGTTTATTTTACATGATTGTTTCAGCTATTCTGGTTTTTTGTTTTCTCATATGAAGATGAGAGTTGACCTTTCATGGTCTGTAAAGAATTGTGTTGGAATTTTGATAGGACTTGCATTATCTGTAGATTGCTTTTGGTATGATGGCCATTTTTGCTATGTTAATCCTATCAATCCATGATCATGGGAGATCTCTCCATCTTGTAATATGAGTTGTGGGCTGGAATAGGATACTGAGGAGACAGGGAGCTGTTGGGTAGGCTGGGCAGGCTCTGAGGAAGTGTTGGTGGTTTGTAGGGTGGGCTTAACCTGGGTACTAGGTGCAAGCATGGTCTTTCTAGATAAAAAAAATTTATGAATAATCATTTTGAAAACATGTCTTAAGTAGAGTAGTTACTAGTTTTGTGTTTTCTAATTGAGCTTCCAGAACGATCACCAGGGCAACATAAATTATGAAGAAAATACTTAGCATGAAGAGAAATAACAATTTTAACATGCACAAATAATTTTAACTTCATCTAAGAAAGGATAGAAAAGGCAGTGTATCCTGTCTCATTCTCTATAAAAGTGCACACAACAGTAATAAACATCTTGTTGGTCGCAGTGTGCTACCATTACTCAATTTATAGGGTAGGGACCAACAAAGGCACTAAAGTCACTTAAAATACTACCTAATAAACCCAGTGTGGTGATGCATACCTACAATCCCAGCATTCGAGGCCAGCCTTGTCTACAGAGATAGTTCCAGGACACCCAGAGCTATTGCTCAAAGAAACCCTATCTTGAAAAACAAAACCAAACCAAAAACCAAACAGTCTCCCAGTAACAAGGTTGACTGAGTCTGTCTGTAAAGTCAGAGGGAACAGAAGCAAGGACAGTAAGATTTGTCAGACACAGCCAAGAGGAGCAAACCAAGTTTTCCTCAGGTATTTTTGGGAGGCGGAGGCAGGGGGCTTGTTGTTTTCCTGACACTAGAGCAGCATGCCGTGGAAAGAGCTAAACTTGAAGTAAGACCTAAATTCTAATCTCCATTGACTCTCGGCTCTGTGATCCAAGGTTCCCCTTTCCTTACCTGTGAAAACAGCTGGCAGTTGGAGGATCGTTTGAAATAGTATGTGAACCGTGGAGACGGTCTGTAATGGTGACACACTACAGCCACAGCAGTGGTGACAGCTGAGCAGCTGTAGAAATGTACTGAACAGCACAGAACATCCCTTAAATGATGACTTCTTGTTCTCCACATCCGACTGTGCCGCCCTTCATAATTCACTGCTACCCCTTAAGCCCAAGGCCTGGCGTTTCTAAATGGCTCCACCTCCAAGTTGAATCATCAGCCCCTTTACCGCAGTTTTAGAAACCTGTTGTGGTGGTTAGAGTTAACTCTCAGCTTAGGAGAATCTAGAATCACCTGGGCGGGGGCTTCTCTGCATACTCCCCTGGGGGCTGGGATTAGTTTACCTTAAGAGAGGTGGTGAGATGCACCCACTGTGAACTGCACCTTCCTTGGTTGGGATGATGGAGAATACAAGCTGTATGGCTGCAGCATGCATCCATTGCTCTCTGCTTCCTGACTAGACACAGTGGCGCTAGCTGACTGACCATAGCTTTGATCTTGTCTGCAGCCCTCAGCCGGCTGCGACCTCCTCCTGACCCTCTCTGGCTCTGCTCTTCTGGGCTGACAGACTCTTAGCATATTTGTTCTCAGACTCCACATTCGGCAGCTACAGCCTTGCCCTCGAAGAATTCCAAATTCTTTCTTGTCTAACTTCCTGCTCTTTCCACCTCCCAAGGTCCAGTCATTTTCCCCCTGTACTTGGATTGCTGAATGTTACTGAGAAAGTTTTCAAGACCAATAACATTTTGGTTGTCTGGGGTTGTTAAACTACGTACTTTAGGAACCGTGGAACTTAAACGTGCAGTAATAGACTTGCGCAAAAGGGCTGGGGTTGTAATGCAGGTATGGAGGAGACATGCTGGCTCGCATATGTAATATTAGCATTTGAGAGGCTGAGGCAGGAGAAGGGTAGATTTCAGGCTAGCTGAATTTTGTAATGGTTCCAGGCTAGCCTGAAACATAGCGAAACTCAAAAATAGATAGATACATAAATACACATATACCTTAATACCCACCCGCCCGTGTCCATCTGGAACCAAAGCCGTATGTCCGGCATTCCATTGGCCCTAATCACAACTGCTCCTCATTTTCCCAGTTGTGTTATCTAATCCACTCAGGTCTTTCTACTTGCTTTCAACATCAATCCCAACCTCCAACCTCCAGTACGTTTAACCCACTTTGCTCGAACATGTGAGCTTGTTGGTCTCCCTGTTAGCGTTGGTTTCTTCCCATGCTCTCAGTTCTTTCTCTTCACTGCAAATGCAATGGTCTGCTCTTTGTTATAATTTTTCTCTCTTTCTCCCTGCCTGCCTCTATGGTTTAGTCCACTCTTCTTGCTTTTAGAATGGTTCTCTTCCCTCTACTTTAAAAAAGAAAAACAACAATAAAAAAAAAATGGTTGCCATGAAGAGCCATTTAAGACAAGTAATGGGTGTAGATTCCAGGAGACAGAAGTTGATAACTGGGTGGCAGATATGGAGCCGAAAATGAGTGCAGACTTTATGTGTTTGGGTGTTCTGTCTACATGTATGTTTATGTACCATGTGCATGCAGTGCCCATCAAGTCCAGAAAGCACACAGGTTCCTTGGGACTAGAGTTACAGATGGCTGTGAGCCCTCTCATCGGTGCTGGCATCACACCCAGGTCCTCTGGAAGGGCAGGCAGTGCTCTTCCCTCAAAACCCTCTCTCCAGCTCAAGTACAGACTTCTTTAAAGGAAGCATACAACAAAGATGTTAGCGAAGTGGACTCCTGAAGGACAGTGTGTTTGCATGTTCAGAGGGCGGGTTTAAGCATGGCTTCCTGTTTTAGAAAAGAAAGGCAGGTATTAAGAGTGAGGTTCATAGGTTTAACTTCAAATGTCTTTAGCTATAAACTGTGTACATAGACCAGATGAGATCATTCCTTTTGATCTTTTCTTGATTGGCTCAACATCATTTCTGATTTCCTGTTCATGTATCTCTCATATATTTAACATGTTCTTTTGAATTATGATGAGTCTGATTTTTTATAACAGAAATCTGTTTGACAAAAAATTACTATGAAATTTGTGCATATTTATGTGTGAGTGATATTTCATGTGTGTGATATGTACATGTGTGTGATATATGCATATATGTGATATGCCTTTGTGAGTGATATATTGCTATATTAGTATGATATGTCATTGGTGTGATATATATTAGAGTGACATATCTATATCTGGATACATGAGTGAGGGCATAGGTGGGAAGAGTAGGAGAGGGTAGAGACACAGTCAGTAGCAATGGAACAACAGTCTGTCTGTAGCTGAGGAGTCGGTGAGTAGAAGGCAGGGGGAGCTACAAGAGTTGAGATGCTGGGGAATGACCTGTTTCAATTGGCTAAGGTACGAAAGGGAAAACCGCCCTCAAATGTGATTTCTGATATTATATACCAAATTATTCATGGAATTAAGTTTAACTTACTTGATTTGTACAGGGACTGGAGAGGTGGCTCAGTGGGGAAGAGCACTTTGCTGCTCTCACAGAGGACTGGTTCCCAACAACTACACGGCAGCTCACGACTGTCTGTAACTCCACCTCTAACTTTCCTGACACCCTCTTCTGCCTTCTCCAGGCACTGCACACACAGGTTGCACAAACACTCATGTTTGGTATGGTGGCACCATTAGTCCTAGCTTTGGGATATTTAGTAAGACCATCTCAAAAAAAAAAAAAAGTCATAGTACAAAATGATTGCTACCTCAGAAGTTAGGTTGATTGGATAAGAATTGCATAGTCTCTGCCTCTTCAAGGATCTGGGGGATTAGTGTAACTTAAACATATGCTCAATAAAACATTTTCATAACCGTTCTGACAATAAGAAACAAAATAGTTGATTAACCAGAACTGACAGTGACAGGGATTTAGAGAAGAGAGTGGTCTGCTTATACAGGTGCATGGAATTTGAGCTTAATTCTGAAAATGACTAACTTTTAGGTAAAAAACAAAACAATTGAATCCAGATTTTTTTTGCGTGTATTTTTAGTACTTTGCCCTTTATTTTTTTTCTTAAAAAAAAAAAATCTTCATTCATTACTCCTTCAGTAATATTTCCTGTGCAGTACGGTTGCAGCAAACCCTTGACTGTGTTTGATGTGTCACCTTCAGTCTCCTCTCTCTGGTTTGTTCCAGGCCCCCTGACTTCCAGCTGCTGAAGGAAGGACAAAGGTTCGTTCGAATCAGCTTCACCGGCCTGAGTGGCCAGGTGGCGTGGGCTCCTGGACGTCCTGTGCGGCTGTGGCACAGAGAACGTGTGACATGTTCAGCGTCTTCTTTTGTGAGGGAAAGACGATTTGTTTAATCTGTCTGATTTATTACCCAGCTGTCCCAGGGAGGACGTCTAATTGAACCTGTTGAAACAGACACAAATACAGCCTCCATCTCATGTGGTCCCTTTGTTGGTGAGGCGGTGCACATTGTATTTGAGAAAGGGTTTTGTGGTCTCACAGGATTTTAAGATATTAATGTGTTGCTTAGTTATTTGAAAAAAATATCTAGAGCATCAGTGTAAACGCAGGTTGTAGGTTTGTCTTTCCTAACCCCACCGCAAAGCTCAACAGCAGTCATTGCTCAGAGCAGATCCTTCTTGCTCTCAATTAAACGTCCCTGGTTCTCAGTCACAGAGAAGAGACTCTTGTTAATTGGTGGACACCTTTATGGTTTTAACCTAGTGTAAAGTGAACGCCGTAAAACCTCAAGAGAAATAATGAGACATAAACTACCAGTTTCATTCTAACTGTATTTTTATTTGTTTCACTTTTTTGTATGTTTAAGTGTCTGCCCAGGAAGGCCATGAGAGGGCATTGGATTCCCTAGAACTGAAGTTCTGGGCAATTATGAGCCACTTGTGGGTCCTGGGACTGGAATCCAAGTTCAGCGCAAGTGGTCTTAACCGCTGAGCCACTTCTCAGCCGGCAGTCTTGTTTCCTGAACCTACGCTGCTTGCTTTCTTCTCACCCAGCAGTCACTTGCCTGGCGGTGCAGGTTACAGATGCTGGAGTCTTTCAGATTTCCAGTAGGACCTCACTTTTAGCTCTTTGCCTCCCTCCTCCCCACACTGTGCTGCTTCCCCACAGGAGAGCTCTGACAGGTGCTTGAGAACAGCCGCTCAGCACTCTCGTTTGTCTCCGCACATTTGCCTTCACTCCTTCAGAATTCTTAATCCTATTTCAATTGAATCTGAAAAGTGAAAGATAGAATCAGAGGTGTTATCCATAATTCACAGATGTTATCCATACTTGTTTGCATTCTGCTGTTACTCCTGAGTTTTCAAATTTAAATATCTTTCGTTGAATAATATTGATATACCAACTTCATCTTCTGTTTTGACCTTTGTGTTTTTTATTCCATGGAATTTTCTGTATAATGGTCAGCGGGAGCTAGAAAATAATCTTCATTTTTTTTCAAGCAAAAATCAAAATCATTGAACAGGATCGTGTCCTTAAAATGTAATAGTGTTTGTTTGCTGCACTGCTTTAAGAATTATAAAATGGGGCTGGCCCGGTGGTGATGGTGCACGCCTTTAATCTCAGCACTGAGGGAAGCAGAGGTCAGCCTGGTCTACAGAGTGAGTTCCAGGACAGCTAGGGCTGTACACAGAGAAACCCCATCTTGAAAAACAAACAAACAAAAGAACTGTGAAATGTTTCAAAACAGACAAAGGAAATCTGGAAAAGAATTGTAGCAAACATGTATTAGGTTTGGAGAAATTATAGCCTTCTGAAGTTTATGTGAGAGAGTATAAGTAAGGCTATGTCTAAGGGATGGAAATTCCGGAATGTAACTGGGGAAATCCCGTTGTAATTGGTTTTGCTTGTCTTTCCTTTACAGTGGCCGTTCTGGAGAAGTCGTCCAGTTCTTCAGTGACGCCGTCACAGCAGCAGACATTGATGGTCCTGGTGCTCGTGAAGCCCAGTGTGAAGCCACGGCTCCCAGTGCTTGGTGTGATCACACCACAGATGACGAGCAAGACTTCGTCTCTTCGCTTCTCCCAGGACACGGACCAAGGGCAGCAGACACGAGGCCACAGCCGCACAGAGAGAGCAGTGTAAGGAAGAAGAACGCTGGTCAGAAAGTGACCTCCAGGCACAAAGAGCAGACAGTGGCGGATGTCACTGAGCGGCTGGGTAACTGCAGATTGGGTGGTCAGGAGAAAGTGGCTGCTTGTGAACTTCCTTCCAAGAAAGAAAATCCTCAGATTCCCTCACCTGGCCCTTCAGCAGTTTCCGACAGTAGACACAGTGTGTCAGAAGTCACTCTTGTAGGGATAAGCAAGAAAAGTGCTGAGCATTTCAGGGTCAAATTTGCCAAATCTAACCAAGGGTCTGGGTCAGCCCCTGGCCTAGGGCAGGGTCCTGAGGTCGCAAAGGCAAGCTTACTTCGAGTTCTGAAGGACACCTTGACTGAATGGAAGACAGAAGAAACGTTGAAGTTTTTGTATGGCCCAGATCATGCCTCCACATGCCCAAAACCGCCTTCAGCCCCCGTACCCGATGAAGAACTCGATGAAGATGACCTGAGTTGTGAACCAGCTAGTGGTGGTCCTGCCGTGAGCCAACCCCAGAACAGCTTAGATGAGACACTACCCTTTAGAGGCTCAGACACGGCCACTAAGCCACTGCCAAGTTACGAGAACTTGAAAAAAGAAACGGAAATGCTGAATCTGAGGGTCAGGGAGTTCTACAGAGGACGCTACGTTTTAAATGAGGAAGCTACCAAGTCGCAGGACCCAGGAGAGGTATGTCTTCTGATGGATGTTTGTAGGCTGCTCACATTTGGAGAACTCAGCAAAGCAAATCTGGGTGCATGGCTCATGCTATTTGCTGTAGGGTAGATTGGTTGCTTAGGTAGTCAAATGCTTTCCGAGGTACTGTTCCGTTAGCGTGTCTGTGTGAAATGTTACAGACGTGACTGGGGAGTTGGCTCATGGGAGAAGGTGCTTGCTTCCCAAGCCTCAGAACCTGAGTTCAGACCCCCAGCACCCATACTCTAGGCGCAGTGGTGTGCATCTGCTACCCACTGCCAGGCAAGCGAAGGAACGGAGTCAGGGGGACTCCAGGTGCCCTGATCAGCCAGTCTAGAGGAAACATCTCCACGTTCAGTTAGAGGCTCTCTAGAAACTAAGGTGGGAAACCGTGCTAGAGTACACATGCAGCATTGACCTCTGGCCTCCACGTGCCCCTGAATGCACACACATAAAACACACCTCACAAACACACAGATGGAATGTCACTGATGAGAATGCTGTGTAAAGGGACTTACTGGGAAGTAATGGATAGAGATCCACTTGGCCGTCTGCTGCTCTGTATATGGGACTTTCCATAGCTTCCGTTGACATTTGTTCAGAGTGTGTGACATAGAGTAGCTGTGTACAGAGTCGTCACCTGTGGAGGCTGAGGTGTAGGGAGGACCTTGTAATGTTCCCGTTGTGTAGTTGTGATTCACATGTGCTATCTGGGAAGTCACATAGCGTGGAGAGGAGTGGGTAACAGTCTTGATTTAGCATAAAACTCTGTTATTGAAAGAGGTGTCAGTGATGTTGCCCTAAGATTGAAAACTCAGTTGGAGATTTGGGGAGGGAAGGTAGAAATAGAATGATATAGGAATTTCTCGGATCTTTACAGACTTGTGCCAAACCCTTCCCCATCCTTGCAATCACAGTATCAACACTAGACAGTATCCAAAACTTACATTAAGCTCGGAGGAACTCTGTCTCCTCCAGCGACTGCATAAACGCTAGCATCGCTTCAGTTTTCCTTACGAAGGAAAAACCGGTGTCCGAAGTCTGGCCCCAGTGTGGAACTGAATGTGGCGTTTGCATTGGCATTCAGCAGCAAGTGTACAGATGGTTAATGTTTACTGTGAGCACCCCATGACATCGCTACCCAGACCAGGAAGTGCTTCCATATAAGGAAACTGGATACCATTAGTGTCTGCTCCCAGCACTGCCTCTTCAGAATTACTGTTAAATAGATTACTTTTGCCAGTTTTGAGCAGTCTATACTCTTTGCTGTCCATGTTTCACAGAACACTGATTGGCTTGTTTTTATGTGTTGGTGCTGTTGTGTGTCACTGTGGCTCATTCTTTCATTACCCAGGAGTGTGCCCATTGCATAAGTAGTGTGGTCCCCGAGTACCCAGGGCTGTGTCCCATGAGCTGTGTGTGCCTTTCCTGAGGGAAAAGAACAGGGACCAGCAATCCAAGGAAAGTCCCTCCAGGTCCGGCTTTGTAAGGCGGAAGTCCGTCTGTCCGCACTGGAGGTTACTGCAGCTGCTCCCAGCGCTAGCCTGCCTGCTATCTCTCACGAGCTCTAGCACCAAGGCCACATGCCGCTAGGAGGCCGGAGGGAGTAGTGGCTTGAATCTCCGGTGTAGGCCTCCCAGGAGAGATGTCAGAGGCGCAGTGGCCCTGACGCTAGCCCCCTCATGCACTTCATATGGACACTGGTTATGAAGTCACCTGGGAGCATGTGGCTCTGCTGTCCCGTCTGGTGAGTGAGTGCTTTCCAATGGTGTGTTGCTCAGTTCTGGACCATCCATTGGCTCTTTATAGTTCCAGTTGTCTGCTAGAATTTTCAGCTGTTATTTTCCTTTGAAGATGATAACTTTATATAGCTTATACAATACATCTTTTAACAGTAATATAATTTCATTATCTGAATCCCTGAGAGTTTGGCTTCAATGGGCTAATGCTCCTGATTTTTATTATATTTATATTATATATAATAATTATATATATATATTTTATATTTATATTGTCATATTTTATCAATCAAAATTGTATATTAAAATATTGCAAACCGGGTGTAGTGATACATGCCTGTAATTTCAGTGTTTGGAAGGCTAAGGCAGGATCATGAGTCTGAGCCAATCACCTGAGATACAGGATATTATTATCTCCTAGGACGGATCTGTTCATTCTCATGAGATTTCTTCAGTCCCACATCACCATAACCTTATCTGGAGTGGAGCTGACTAGGTGACGGCAACAGCCCTTAGGAGTCAGTCAGTCTTCTCTTCTGCCTTACTCCTAGAGTGTGCGCCTGCTAAGTCTTGACCCCCATTTGGAGAGTATTACCCATAACCCTCCTTTTTTGGCATGCCCTGAACTGTCATTTCTGTTAGAAAAACTCTGCTCAGGTATTTGTTAGGGAAAAAAAATCACCTCTTCCAGGGTTCGTCTGTGTGCTCTCCTGAGCTACCTCTCCAGGGGCTCAACCCAAATTCTTCACTACCTTGCTAGTTCTGCCGTGCATTCAAACAGACACAAAGTGGGTTTGCTTCCTTTTGTTTTTCTTTTCTACTTTCTCATTGCTAGTTCATTTGGATGATCATTTCTGAAAACATGACTTTCCCTCAAGTTCTAAGCAATTGTTGATGTTAATCCTCAAGTGTACATTTATTATGTACATTTTTATTATTCAGCATTTTACAGAGGAGACAATAGAGGGTGGGTGGGCCAGGCAGGTTCATCAACCTGATAGTGACTCAGCTGATGCTCAGGTTTAAATGTTTAAATCCTTAAGACTGTTTCTATAGTAAAGGAGTCAGCTTTTATGCTTAATGTTATTGCTCTACTCATAGAAAGAAAACAATACCTGGTTATTTTTCTGTTTGCTTTGTTTAAGAATGGGTTTCAGCGTGATACCAGCTTCCCACTGATTGATTCAAGCTCCCAGAACCAGATTAGAAGACGGATTGTTCTTGAAAAATTGAGCAAAGTGTAAGTATGGATGTGTCATTCTGGCTTGGTAAAAGATTTAAATTAACTGAATGTTTTCGTGAGTTTATAATTGTTTTAAAGATAATGTGAAAAACTTCCATGAGTTTCCTCACTTGAAAATTCCCATTTTAAGATTGTGTCTTTCCAGATATTTTTCGGTACTAAATTCTTTTTGTAGATGACACAGGACTATCATAAAGGGTTTAGAAACTGAGACTGTAGAGTAGAAAGACAAAATACCCCACTCCTTCCTATGCCAGCAACGAGTGAGAGCTGTTGAAGCCTAGGAACCCCAGCTCCGGGGGAGCAGTCAGGAGCTGCGCGATGCCACAGCGCCCGTCCGCCACAGCGCCCGTCCGCCACAGCGCGGAACTGCGCTCGACCTGCACTTTGGCTTGAAGCATCCTGTGAAGGAAAGGATTGTTCTTAAATTACCCCAGTCACAGATAACACTTAAAAGTTGCTCTTGTTTTTGTTTTTTAAAATAAAAAAGTAGCCAGGAAGTGGTGGCACACTCATTTAATCCCAGCATTCGAGAGGATGAGGCACGTGGATCTCTGTGAGCTTGAGCCCAGCCTGGTCTAGAGTGAGTTCCAGGACAAGCTCCAAAGCTACAGAGAAACCTTGCACCAAAAACAAATAAAAAAAAATAGATCAGTGAATCAGTCAATCAATCAAAGAGTTTCTAGGTCTTTTTTCCAGAGGTAGAAGGTTCACCTTGGACTTTTAAACCTGCATTTCCTTCTTCTAGCAAGAAAACACGGACTGTTTCCACCACTGTGTAAGGAGTTGTGTGTAACATGAGGGCCGGCTTGTTGGGGTATCTGTCCCACCTGGTACCCCACAGCCGGCAATTACCAAGGAAAATCACACACAGGACTCCATAAGGTTATAAACTGATTGGCCCATTAGGTCAGGCTTCTTATTAGTCCTTGTAACTTATATTAATCCATTATCATTATCTATGTTAGCCGCATGGCTCAGTACCTTTCTCAGCGTGGCAGCTCACATGTTGCCTCTTCTGTGGCCTGGGCAGGAATGGAGAGGGAGCTTCCTGCGTCCTAGAATATTCCCAGGCTCTTTGCTCCACCCCTACTTCCTGTCTGGCTTTCCCGCCTATACTGCCTGCCTGGCCAATCAGCGTTTTATTAAAATACATGATTGACAGAATACAGACAATTCTCCCACACCAGTTGTGTACAGAGAAGTCTCGCTTTTGCAGTATTTTGAAAAGAGGAAAAACATTTTCTGGAAGCATAATATTTTTGAGCAGCCAAGATATAAAACACTACTGGTGCTATAGTGGGAAGTACAGCTGTTTTACTGGTGATGTAATGGGAAGTACAGCTGTTTTACTGGTGATGTAATGGGAAGTACAGCTGTCTTACTGGTGATGTAATGGGAAGTACAGCTGTTTTACTGGTGATGTAATGGGAAGTACAGCTGTCTTACTGGTGCAACAATGGGAAATACAGCTGTCTTTAAGATACATATCTCTAAGCTACACCTGGACTCCTTTCTGATTAGCATTGGGATCTTTAGTTGGCCAGTTTGTTGGTTTGGTTAATGGTCTTTTGGAAACAGTCTCACTATCGTTGGCCTGAAACTCACTATGTATGTACCAGGCAACCATCTAACTCAGAGAGATCTTCTTATCTCTGTCTCTGCCCCCGAGTGCCGGGATTGAGGGAGTGCCGCCATGCCTGATGTGACATTGTATCTTGATTTGGTTCAGTCTAAAAAAAATTGACCATGAAGAAGAACTACTCTGAAATTTACATTTTGAATAAATGTTTAAGTTAATATAGATTGAGCATGTCCATATGTTAGGCTCTGCATATGTGTCTTATTCTGTCTCGTGTGTGTGTGTGTATTCCTTTGCTTTCCTGTTATAATAAAAAAAAACTTTAGAAGGAATGAAGTATATTTGTATATAATAAGCATTGTGTACTTTTATTTCAAATGTGTTATATGGTGTATGCATTTTTCATCTAACATTTATCATTTTACATTTTCAAAAACAGTCTGTGCTATTTTAAAAGTTTTTTTTAAAAGGGGGTTACTAAATGTATCATATAAATCACCTAATGATAAGTTTATCTCCAAGTTTTCACTAAAATGTGTATACAGCCTTCTTCTCATGTTTGTTGGAATAGTGTTTATATCATTATTCAGAGGGTAATGCTTTAGTGATAAAACCATGGAACTAAAGGTGAGGACAGGTTGCTCTTTGGTAAGAAACTAGGCACAGAAAGAGGTACAGGCGGTGGTATTCAGGCATCTGTACTGGCCTGCCCTTGGGGTCCTGAGCTGCAGCCAGAAAGGGTTTGCGTGTCGGGGCTTTGCACGCTTTAGCGCAGACACACGGCTGGAGTTAGAATAATGCTCCTTTGACATCTCACTGGTTAGATGTAGCTTACCCCTGCTTCTACCTGAGTGTCGCTTGTGGCCATGGGAAGCCAGAGGCAGGATTATCCAACCAATATGTGTTCTAGCTTTATATAATGTGTAATTTTTTTTGTTTATTTGTTTCAGATTGCCTGGACTTTTGGGTCCTCTTCAGATTACAATAGGCGATATTTACTCTGAACTTAAAAGTCTTGTTCAGACTTTCAGGTAAATGTGAATGTTGTCATTTTTCCTGCTCTGTTATTTTAGCCGCATTGACTCCTGTGCAGTCCATGGGGAGGCTAAGGCAGGAAAGTCTGTGCTCTGCCTTTGTGGACCCACATCTGCCCCGATGAGCACTCAGTGCTATTCTCTCCTCCTCTGGACAGTACTTGTGTTTCCTATTGGATACAGATCCTTATTGGCTCAATTTTTGACCAGTTTTTCTTTGGCTAGCTTGCTTGTAAAGTAAACTGCGTTTAAGAGGAAGACGTACAGGATGGGGAGATGCTGCTGTCTGTAGAGTGCTGGCCTTGGCGGCACAGTGACCTGAGTTCACTGCTGTCTTAATTACAGCTTCCATTGCTGGGAAGAGCCCACAGGCAACTCTTATAAAGGAAAACATTTAACTGGGGCTGGCTCATAGTTTAGAGGTCATGGCGGTCCACATGGCGCATGCAGGCAGATACGGTGCTAGAGAGGTAGTGAGATCTTGATCCCCAGACAGCAGAAAGAGACTGTCCAAGACTGCCACCTCCACGTGACACACTTCCTTTAACAAGGCCACATCTCCTAATAGTGTCATTCCCTGTGGTCCAAGCCTTCAAACACATTGAGTCTATGAAGGTCATTCCTATTCAAACCACAACAAGTCCCCAAAAGCCAAATTTTTTTAAAAATGAAAAGGCTAGCGAAGTTGTGTGCGTGAATAGTCTCTGCACTGAGGAGGTGGAGACTGGCCCTGCGGCTGCTGGTCCATGCCACTTGGCACGTTCTCAGGTGGAGACTGGCCCTGTGGCTACACGGAGGCCAGCTGGTCCTCCAGGACGCTCGCCTGCGAGCACACGGGGCGGGTAGTGCGTGATTTAACACTGGGTCGTGGGAGACCTTGGAGCACTAGAGCTACAGAGAGGGGACAGAGATTTCCTCTGTGGAAGGAGGAGCAGGTGAGAGTTCTGACTGGTAAAACATGTACACGAGAACAGTCTTACCGGGATGTCCATATGTGAATGTCTAAAAATAAACCTGGATAATGTGATTTCTCTAATTACCATTGTCTCAGAGACAATACAACTTAAAGATCATTGATCACAAAACTTCAGGGATGTGAGAATGGTCTTCAGATTGGCATAAACATTTTGAATAAATGCTTTGTGAAAAAGAGGCTCCAGGCCAAATATCACAAAACTCAGGGTTTTGTTTTGGTTTTTTTTTTTTTTGTATCCCTGTTTATGATGGAAACATACACTTTGCATCTTATGTTTTTAATAGAACCGTACATCCAAGAGGGGAAACAGAACTTTGTGTAAGGGTGGTGAGTTTGGATACAAGTCCGTGGTGTGTGAATGCTGGGATTGAGGATTTGTTCCAGCCTCTCAGGGAGTGTCATAGTAACAGTCTCGCTGGTTCGTGAGGATCTGCCCTGCATGTCCTTCAGGCAGTGGGCGTCTAACTGGTGATGTCACATGAAGAGAGCTCTAGGAATATGTCCTCTCAGGGAACCTTGTAGTGCACACCCAGCATGAATGAGACGCTGGGTTCCAACTCAAACACTACCAAACACTGCTTTTCCCTCTGCGTCCAAGGTTGGCATTTCAGTTAAATAATGAAACATGATGCCTTAGTCATTGTGTGTTGTCTGACTCCTGTGGGGCTACTGATGTCGTTCAAATTGTAATTTTAAAGTAACTGTAGGATTGCTCCATAACCACTGTACATCCATGGGAACGTGGGTGTTTGGTGTTGGAAACCACTGCTGGTCTCTGGAAGCAGCGCTGGTAATATGGCTGTCAGCCCATGAAGTCAGTTCTCATCACATGCCGGGCTTTGCCAAGAACCTAATTTCTGAAAGCAATGGTGCTGTCGTTTCTCGGTGGCAGGTAAGAAGTAAAACAGCCTCTCTCAGCTCATATAACTAGCCATTTGGTTTTGATCTCAAGCCTCTCGGCAGAGGGAGGGTCATAGATCATAAAGAGCGGGGCCCACAGGTTTTAAGGCAGTCTGTCCATGGTTCTGACAAGAGTCCTTGTTTGCTTTAGGTCAGTGACCATAGTACTTGATTTTCTGTCTGGCCCTTTACTTCTGAATTAGACAGTGAAAACTTCTTTTGGGGCTGGGGTGTAGCTCAGGGTTATCTAATGTGTACAAGGTCGTGGGTTCAATCCCCACAACAAGAAATTAGCAATAGGATAGGTATGTATGCCCATACTTAACAGATGTGTGTGCGTGTGTGTGCACATGTTTGTGGGGGATATGGGAGTGGAACCCAATGCCTGACATATGGTGAACATATATGCTCTAGCACTAAACTGCATCTCCGTCCTCTCTGCAATCTTTGACAAAAACTTCCAGTTTTATTGTCTGAGGCACTGCTGTGTCGAGGTCTGCACTGCGGGGTTGGGGTCCTCACTGCGGGGTTGGGGTCTGCACTGCCGGGTCGGGGTCCTCACTGCGGGGTTGGGGTCTGCACTGCCGGGTCGGGGTCCTCACTGCAGGGGTCAGGATCCGCACTGCCGGGTCGGGGTCCTCACTGCGGGGTCGGATCCGCACTGCCGGGTCGGGTTCCTCACCCTCTCTATTCTTCCGTTTTACCATATCTTAAATGTTTTGATATGTCTCTCTTTTCCATAAACATGAATTGGCTCTCAGCAAATCTTAACAACGGCAGAGGAACAAGGCAACTTATTTTAGTTGAGCTTGAGGGACTAATGCAGTGATGTCATGGTGTATCTGATTGATTCGCTAGATGGAGCTAGACTGCGAGCTCCCTAATGGAACTTAAGAGTCAGGCCAGTCTGTTCTCAGGTGGTGTTTCCCTCTACTTGCCTTGCCTTTTTTCCTTATTCACCTCTTCCTGTAGCTTAACTCTTCCCCAGGCAGATACTTTGCTCAACAATCTCTGTCTGTTCTGTGTTTAGGCCCTGAACAGGCATTCAGATGCATAAGCCCATGTGTTCCATCATGGGCTCAGAGTTTGCTAAGAGTAGGTCCTGCTACTGCTATGCACACACAAAGGAAACTGTACAAGGTGAGAGTGTGCTGATCACCCAGATTTCTTCTGGTAAATATATGTAGTCACTTACATATGATTTTATCCACCATCCCTCAGTGAAGCTGGAAATCATTACACATGTAGTAAACCTGAGGAAACGACCTCAGAGGTAGTTCTGAGGAAACGACCTCAGAGGTAGTTCTGCAAGTTTGTGGGAGAGGATGCTATTTCAGGAACACCCTCATGAAGAACTGATATTAAAGCTGAAATATAGATAGAAGTCTGCTTTGTGGACTGGGGGTGTGGTTCAGTGGTAGAGTGTGTGGTTGGTATACATGGGGCCCAGGTTTGACTTCTAAGAACACACACAAAAACCCCCTTAAGTCATTTGAATTGTATTATAGCTTCCATTCCCTGAACTGGCAGCTTTACTGGTATCCTGTCCAAGTCAGTCTGGTTTCCTCACACGCATATCAGAGGAGCAGCTGGGGTATACTTGAGTACTTCCAAAGGTATTTGATTTAGAACTAGTACAAGAGCCCAGTAGGATTACTGAGGACGATTTGGTGTGGATCTACCATGTAACTCCCTTACCCATCGAGCCACGTTCTTCTGACAGCCCTAGCGAGCAGGCTGCGGGTATGTGCTGTCCATTTAATGTACAAACTTAGTCACTTTCCCTCTCATCCCTGTTTGCAGCCAGATCCCTGCCAGTTCCTTTTTTCCTTATTCACATAAGCTAAAGACGTGAGGAACTGATGCTGTTGACTTCAGAATTACCCTGGTTAGTAGGGGTGGTAGTAATGTGAGGCCGTGAAAGTGAAACCTGGCTGGTCGGGAGGTAGCTGTTGTCAGGAAAAGAAGTAGTGTACAAGAGCTTCAGTTTTGCTTTCTCTGCCTTTATAGATGCTTGAAATTTAATAACAACATCTGTGAAAAACAAGCCCCAGAGTAAACATTATCTTGGTAGAATTCTGTAGAATTCTGCTTCCAAGACAAACTTGATGTCAAGTAAGTTATTTTTAATTGTCTACCCTCTAAAGCCTGTGGGTTGGAGTCTGTAACTCTAAGTTTCCTCCCTGCCTTCAAGGAAATGTCAGGGGCTCCCAGGGAGAAAGTGTGGCTCTGTAGTCTGATTCCTTCTCTGAAGATGCCCTCTTGCTGGCAGTGGAGCGTGGAGAGCTCCTCTCAGTGAACACTGAGGGTAGGAAAAGGTGACATAATTCCTGCGTCTTTCTCTTCGGGTGACCGCCAGTGCTAGGAAGCTGCAGAACAGTCATTCTGAAGCCTTTAACAGCTATAAATGTATGCTGAGGTCCTTGGAGACCAGTCCTCTGATTAGTTAGGGTTCTGCTCAGACAGTAGGATAGCTTAAAAGCCCCCTAGGTGATTCCAGCATGCAGAGTGGAGCCTTTCGTGCCTCAGTAGAGAGCTGTCCACCACTCCACTTGCTCTGTGACCCGAGTTGGGCTGTGTCTGTCACAGCACAGAAAGGCTCCAACCAAGCTGGTCAAGATGCTTGTCTGAGCAGATATGAATTAAAATCCTATTCTATTCTGCCATTAAAAATCCTCTTTAAATTTTATCTGTGATGAATCAAGACTTTTTTCTAAACGTGTATAAATTTAAATTAACATGTGCTTAATACCCAGGGCCAGAAGAGGGCATTGATCCCCTGGAACTGGAGTTAGAGATGGCTGTGGATCAGCAATATGAAAGCAAGTAGAACTTTGCTGGTCTGCTAATGTAGTAGAAATACTGCGAGCTAAAAGCAGGATTTCTGGTGGTTTGAATGAGAATGACCCACAGACTCATATGTTAGAGTATTGGTCTCTAGTTGGTGGAACTGTTTAGGAAGAATTAGGAGGTGTAGCCTTGCTGGAGGAGGTGTGTCTCTGCGGTGGGCTCAGGCCATTCTCGGTTGACTCCCTGTCTCCCCCACTTGGGGATCAGATGTCGTTCTCAGCTGCTGCTTCAGTGCCTTGGGTGCCTGCTGACTGCTCGCTGCCGTGGTGGCCATGGCCTCGCCCTCTGAAATTGTGAGCCCCCATGAACTTCATGTGAGTTGCCCTGGTCATGGCAATAGGAAAGTGACTAAGACGGCCTCCTACTGTGCTTCCCTGGTACCTGGGACAGTGTTAGAAATCACACACGTGCTACATTTGCTTTTCCTGAATGACAAAAGGAACTCATGAAACCTTAAACCGAGAGGTTTAACAACAACAAAAAACAGAATTTTAGGCCTGATGGTGCACATCTTAATCCAAGTACTCAGAGGCAGAGACAGTGGCCTGCTAATCTATGTAAGCTCCAGGCTAGCTCAGGGCTGTATAGTGAGACCCATCCAAAAGAGTAGCGGAGCTGTATCGCACTGTTCTCGGAATTTCAGCTCTTCATGGTTATGTGCTGGGTTTCATTTTATTTCGTGCAGGACGACAGTGAACAGAAAAGCCCATGTCTCCTGTCAGAGGGTCGTATGCATGTCTTGGTGTAATGTATTAGTATGTAGCCGTACACTCTTCTCAGTTTCCAGTATATTCTCCATTTCTTCCAAGAAGTGGGAGCAGAGTTGAAGTGGTACTGAAGACTGAGAAAGTTTCCATTTTAGTTCATGGGCAGCAGTGAGAGGCGCATCCGAGTAAGGTCGGGAGCTGTTACTGTCTGAAATCATCCGACAGAACTCAGCAGGTGGAAGGACTTGGTGCGCGGGCCTGTGGACAGAGTCTGATCCCCTAAACCCACACAGAGCTGGAAGAAGTGAACCAACTCCAGGGAGTTGTACTCTGACCGCTATATGTGCACCGTGGCATACACTAAAGAATAAAAAAATTAAGAAGCCTGGAAATGGGGCTGGAGAGTTGGCTCAGTGGTTAAGAGCACCAACTGCCCTTCTGGAGGACCTGAGTTCAATTCTTAATGCCGTCTGGTGCCTCACAGCTATCTGAACTCCAGTTCCTAGGGACCAGATGCCCCCCTCTTGCCTCTGTGAAACGTGTGAACAAGAGTGAGCCTGACGTAGTCGTTGAACGTTTAGGATGCTGGTAAATCTGGGGAAGTGAGCAATGGCCAGCGGAAAAAAATCTGTGTAAAGAGCCATGAAGGGGGGGGGGGCGGGACTAGGAAAGCCTGCCCCTGCCAGAGCGCGAGGAGTGTGTGTGTGTGCGTGTCACATGTGCCGGGACTAGGAAAGCCTGCCCCTGCCAGAGCGCGAGGAGTGTGTGTGTGTGCATGTCACATGTGCCAAGACTAGGAAAGCCTGCCCCTGCCAGAGCGCGAGGAGTGTGTGGGTGTGCGTGTCACATGTGCCAAGACTAGGAAAGCCTGCCCCTGCCAGAGCGCGAGGAATGTATGTGCGTGTGTCACATGTGCCGAGTAGACCAGAAGCAGAAACTGGAATTCAGGAACGAGGTCCAGACTAGAGCAGAAGGTTGGAGCCCTAGTTGTCTTGGTGTTGTAAGACGGGATAGAATCACCAGAAGGAAGTGTCTGCAGAGAGGAGCCAAGCAACCCAGGTTGGGAGGTTTGGGGTGATGCAGGGAGGGAAAGGGAAACTGAGCAGAGGGATCGCTCTGCTCAGCTGTGTGGGAGCCCACTGGTGGGTGAAGGGAGAGGGATCTTTGTAAAAGCCTGTGAGGGAAGTTCTGTGGAGCTTTCTGTACCAGTTCTTCAAAGTTTGGTTCAGTTTATTTTTGTTGTTTTTGAGACAAGGACTATGTGTGTGTATGTACTGGACTTGTAATGGCTCTATAGATCAGGCTAACCCCAAACGTACAGAGATTCCCTGGGCTCTGCCTCTCCAGTGTTGGTATTAAAGGTGTGTACTACTTAATATTTTATATTATTAGTAGGTATTGGAGTCTGTAACACCATTAAGTGACAGAGCTGGGCTAATAGCCACATTAGCGGACTGTTATACTGTACTGCCTTTTTATAGCTAGACTTTTAAGTAATTTTGAAAAACGTTCTAAACTATAGAGAAAATCCAGATTGATAAACAAACTGATAGGTTTTAAATTTTCTAAAGTTTCACTCATGGTAAAGGCTGTAAAGCACCTGTTCTGGCACCTGGAGTGGAGAGCGCTGGGGCTTCCTCTCAGGCAGGGGAAAGAGGTAATATGGGTGTGAAAAAGACATGGACGTCCGCTGAGCAGAGCGGGGCAGGGACATCTGTCTCCAGAGAGGCACTTTGAGGAAGACCTGAGCACCTGTACTGTGAAGTGTGTGTGTCCATCTGGTCTTGGTTTTCACTTCTGTGCCGTGTGCCGTGTCCACACAGTGCTTAGTCTTGCCCATTCTTGACTGATGCAAATGGTGCCAGCCATATTTGGCTTCATTCAAAGTGATTATCCAGCATGCATAAGTCTAGGCCATTCATATTAATGGTTGTTCAATACTCTAAGTATGCTGCAATTTATTTCCCTCTATTCTGAGCAATATTTTGTTAAAGGTTTCCATAGGTCATTATACATAAATGAAAATACTTTAAGCCTTTGTATCTAGATATAAGGTACTCACATATACATATCCCAGATTTGAATCTGGTGAGCTAGCATTCATTTTCTGTAATTATGGCATCCCTGTTGCCTACTGCCAATCAAGCACGGGTCACAATGCTAGAGTATTGGGTAAAGCTAGGGTCAGAGCAGCTTCCCTTGTTAGCTTCAGCGGGTGCTGATGCGGGCCGTGGACATCTGTATCTGTGGTCTCACTTTCCTCGTGAGTCTCATGATCCTGTTTTAATACCACCCATGCTGTAGTGTGTAAGAGCGCAGCTGAGTGCTTCTTGTGGAGACTGCTCCTCTCTGCAGCTGGACTCTCAGAGCCGGGAACCAAGCCCTTAATAATAGCGCATTATTGCACCACTGACTGCCCTGTGAAACAGAGCAGGTGTTTAGAACTGTCTCTTAGTGGGCGGTGGCAGTGCACACCTTTAATCCCAGCTCTGGGGAGGCAGAGGCAAGTGGATCTCTTGAGTTTGAGGCCGGCCTGGTCTATAGAGCGAGTTCCAGGACAGCCAGGACTGTTACACTGAGAAACCCTGCGTTGAAAAACCAAAATAAAATAAAGAACTACCTCTGTGACACATTAAATCATAATTCTTATCAAGAACTAAAATTTGAAGGTAAACCTTGATGTCTTTCAGATTATCAAACCGAAACATTATCCACAAGCCCGTGGAATGGACTTTGATCGCTGTGGTGTTGCTGACATTGTAAGTAACTCTTTCAGATTCTATCTCTGCGTGAACAGTCAAAGGCTTGCACACTGTCTTGGAGAATGTGATTTCCATGTTTTTTGGATGCTGTATTTGTTTCTTTGTATTTCTACCATCTTAAGAAAACCGTCCCCATAAATGTTGTTTATCTTTTGTTAGAGAACATCCCGTATGTGAGGTTATGCCCCAGTCTCTTGCACTTCATTGTTCATGTCTGTTCTAAAACTGAATGAGCACCCCTGTCTCCTGTCTGTGTTTTTACCTATATGTCATTTTTTGACAGTTTGTCTTTAATGGTAGATACATTTTCTTTTCTTTTTTTAAGATTTATTTATTTCTTATGTATACAGTAGTCTCAGTATTCTGCCTGCATGTATCCCTGCAGGCCAGAAGAGGGCACCAGACCTCATTACAGATGGTTGTGAACCATCATGTAGTTGCTGGGAATTGAACTCAGGACCTTTGGAAGAGCAGACAATGCTCTTAACCGCTGAGCCATCTCTCCAGCCCCTACATTTTATTTTCTAAATGTACATTTTAGAATCTAACAGTTAAAGGAGCTAAAGTAAACACTCAAACCCACTCGCCGTTTAAGACACCGCTGGTGGTTTCCAGGCTCTTTTTCAGAAGGTTAAAGGCATTAGGTGTAGTGTTTTTCAGCATGAATTGGAAGAAATTTTTGAGATCATTATGATTGCATCTCTGTCGCTGCTGGTGCGTGTTGGGTCACTGAAGCCCACGGCACTTGACTTAGGGATGCTCACAGCTCAGATCAGGGCGTCTCCAGCCCCACACTCTCCCCCTGTTTGAGTTTGGTCTGACATGTGCTTTTCCCGTCCCCAGGTGTGTGGGAAGGATTAGGTAGGCTTCAGTGAGCCTGAATCTGTGTCACCCAACCAGATACAACTCATATGATTCATTAAATCAGAACACAGAAAATAACTTTACTTGAATGCTCTGATATAAATTTTTAATCAACCCTAAGAACAAATCTTTTGTTATTTCTACTATTCAGTGTTCCAGTTGAATTGGCAGTTTGTGAAAAATATCTTATTAATTTTTAAAACGTTTTTCTACTTTATTAAATGTGTAAATACTTTGGTCACTGACAGGGAAAATATCAGTAACAGTGCTTACCCACAGTATCATATGTCTGGTAATAAGCGCTCATAGACAATTAATTGTACTTTTGTAATTTATTATGCCAAGAGGGAAGAGTGTTTGGACTGACATGTTAGAGGATGAACAGTAATCTCAGAACCTTGCTTATACAACTGAAGACATAGTAGGTCCTGTACTACTGCCACATCTCCAAAATGTTTAGCAAGGAATAAAGAGAAGCATGAGAAACACAATAATAAAATCTACTATTAAAATTCATATAATTATTCCATGTAAAAACAAAGCTCCGGGCTGGAAAGCTGCTTCAGTCAGCCAGATGCCTGCTGAGCTACCGTAAGGACCTGGGTTTAGACCTAGCACCATGTAGAAGCCAGTGTGGCAGCATCTGTCCCTCCAATGTGTGAGTGGCGGGAGAGGAGCAGACCCCGAGCTCACTGATGCACGTGTGAGTGGGGGGAGAGGA